AGACCATTTTTGCTTTTCCCTTCGCCATCAGGACTCCCCGTCCTGTGTCCAGCTCCTTGGGGGCTCCATTCTCTGCTCCATGCTTTCAAACATTTCCTTACACTGTTCTCTGTGCCTGGATTTCCCGCCTTCTCCTTGCTCCCCAGTCTGCCTGAATATCCAGATTTCTTCTCGTCTTCCAGTGTCAATGCCTGTGCCTCTGCAATGCCTCCTTAATCCGTTATGTTGAGAGTCATTGCTCCTTTTTCTGGGTTTTCACTTTATTTACACTTTTTGCATGCCAATGACAAAATTCTGCCTTATATCATCAGCAGAATTTTCCATGTCTGACATATCTCCCTCTGGATTGTAATATTCTCTTAAAGGCCTCGTTCAGATTCGAATGGTCTTTGTACAACTCCCCTCTGTGAAGGCCAAATGGCACACAAGCCAGGAGCAAGAAAGCCCTGGTTGCCTGTGGAAATGAATGAACATACATGGGCTGGCAGCCATGTCCCTGCACACCTGCCTTTTCTCAGAGGCGTGGCCCTAGCAGGGTAAGCTGTCTGGAAGAGGGAGCTATTTTGGGCAGATGGAACATTTTGTCCCCTTAAATCACGTCCCATGAAAGGCCAGCATGCCATCCTGCTTCTGAAACAAGCACTGAGCTCGTCTCCATTTAGGAGAAGAGCTGCCGCGTGGATATTTTTAAGTGGTGAATGGAGAAATGGGTATATCTGATACCATGGCGCTTGTTACACTTTGAGCAGACTCTGCTATTCATACTCCATCTATTGACTCAGGGAGGAGTTTATTTCAAACCAAACAGCTCAGCTATCCCAGAAGCAGCTGCCTCAGAAGGAAGGAGGATGCTGTCCTATTTTCCCCATCTAACCTCCTTCTCACTCAATCCACAACAGCCTTTCCATGTAAGGAAGAGGCTATTTTCTTTCAAGCTTTATTCTCCATCTTCTCTGTGGCAAGAAAGGTGATTGGATATTGGGATTTTTAATGGTTTTGTCTGAAAGCCATTTAAAATGAAGCTGGAATGTCAACAAGACTGACGTTGAATGGAGTAGATGTTAAGTGGAAATGAACTTGAAACAAGAGATGGAGTTAGTCATTCCCCTGATCACTTGGAACAGATGATGGAGGTCCCCTGGCTCTGCTCCAGGGAACAGAACAGAACCACTTGAATACGGCCAGCCACTGTTTGTACATACCCTCCTGAAATGGCTCATCCAAAATGCTGAAGGACATTTTGTTTTCTTAATAGTTTGGCCTTTCCACTGTTTCTATATGATTGATGTGTTTCAGCAAACCTTTTTAAAAAAAGAATAGCTAGAGGTAAATTTAGCTCATCCTGTTTGAAAATATTCACCATCTCTAAATCCCCAGGGCCTAAATCAATGAGGTTTTAGCACATTTCGACACAGAGCCCTGATGTATAAATTCTGCAGTGGCTAATTTCACATATTTTACTTCCTCTCTAACAAAGCTATGGACAAATGCACAAGCAGGGGAGGGTTTGAGCCTTGGTGCTTCCTGTAGATGTGAATCTGACACCATCTTGGAGCAGGGCCCCTCCCCAACCTCTCCCAATCCTCTGCTGGGTTGCTCGGTTTTTCACTCCAAGAGACCCTGGAGGACAGCTATATCTGAGGCTCATTAAAATCTTCTAGGATGAAAAGGTCTTTGATTATTCAGAGCAGCAGGTCTTCAGGTGAAGGCCTTATACACAAACATGCTCACCTGATTCTCAATTTATATTGTGTGTTACCTGTGGGGAAAATTAAAAACTCAAACCTCAGGCACTTTCCCTCTCCTCCCTTGGTTGCCCGGGGGCTTGCTGTTGAGATATTTCTTGTTGATTGTTTTGTTTTTTATGTCCCTGGCTAGTGCTAAAGATTATTTCTTTCCCATCTTGTTTACTTCACATCTCTTTTCTTTATAGATAGCCTCTGCTTTGTGGCATGGCTTTTTGCTCCTTATCTCAGATGCAGCCAGCCCTTCCCCACTTACCCCCACCCCAAAACACACACACACGAACACACACCATTTCGGAGTGGATCCACACTCCCCATTTCAGTGGATCTGACATCAACGACCCCTCCAATCCCAGCCCTCCTTGTCAGAGGGGAGCTCTGCATTGAACTAGGACTAGCTCCTGGGTCATAAAAGCTGCTGGGACCTTGGAGAGCTCTTACTAAACAGATAAGGCCACCAACGCCAGAGGAGAGAGGTCAATTCCTGGAGGGAACAAGCCTGTTTTGCTGAGCCCCGTTCCTTGCCCAGCCCCTAGACCCATCACAGGGAAGGTTCAGAGGACCTCTGACCCCTCCAGTACCTCCTTGTCCTGGCGCCACTCTAGCCTGGTCTCCCAGGTTTTCTGTAGGGAGAGGAGCACAGTCCGCTCCCCCCATGCCATGGTCTCCAACAGTGACAACCCAAACTAACCCCCAAATAGGAATGGCTTCAACCTGGAGAGAGTCCTTCAATGAAATGGTTTATACTGGTGGATATTTAAAGGTATTTGTCTTTCAGCTGGGTGCGGTGACTCACACCTATAATCCCAGCACTTTGGGAGGCCGAGGTGGGCGATCACTTGGGGCCAGGAGTTCGAGACCAGCCTGAGCAACATGGCGAAACCCCATCTCTACTAAAAGTAAAAAAAACTAGCTAGGCACGGTGGCGCATGCCTGTAATCCCAGCTACTCGGGAGGCTGAGACACGAGAATCACTTGAACCCAGGAGGCAGAGGTTGCACTGAGCCGAGATTGCACCACCGCACTCCAGCCTGGGTGACAGAGCGAGACTCCATCTCAAGACAAACAAACAAAAAAAGGCATTTGTCTTTCAATTACTAAAAGCAAGCATGGTTACTGGAAAAAAATTCAAATTCACATGTATTTATTTATTTATTTATTTGTCTTTCAGCCAGGTGTGGTGGCTCGCATCAAAGCATGCTGCTTTCCGTACCTTCTCACTCTCCCTCCCCAGGGATAACCACTTTCTTTCTTTTTTATTTTATTTATTTATTTATTTTTGAGACGGAGTTTTGCTCTTGTTGCCTAGGCTAGAGTGTAATGGCGTGATCTCAGCTCACAGCAACCTCCGCCTCCTAGGTTCGAGCGATTGTCCTGCCTCAGCCTCCCAAGTAGCTGGGATTACAGATGCCCATCACCATGCCCAGCTATTTTTGTATTTTTAGTGAGACAGGGTTTCTCCATGTTGGTCAGGCTGGTCTCGAACTCCTGACCTCAGGTGATCTGCCCGCCTCGGCCTCCCAAAGTGCTGGAATTACGGGTGTGAGCCACTGCGCCCGGAGGGGGTAACCACTTTCAATGGTTTGAGATGTTTGTGTCTTCATAGAAGAAGTATATACATATAATTTGGGTGTTGGTATTTTTTTTTTATTAACGGAGTTCTAATATACATGCTGCCTTTTTTCCCTTACTATGGAATTGACAGAGGATAATAAATTAATTCTAGGCAACAAATTTTTCTTTAACTCATCCTATCTCTAGGTTTCTCCTCACAGAAATTACAGTCCCTTCTCTTGGGGTTCCATCCCACCCCTAAAACAGTATGTATCCTCCCTTCTCTGTACCATTACTGTTTCTTGTGCAAAATTGTGCCTTGGAGTATGTACTGAATGGTGTTGCACTGGAGGCCTGGTGCGATGACCCACGCCTGTAATCCCAGCACTTTGGGAGACCAAGGCGGGCGGGTCATTTGAGGTCAAGAGTTCCAGATGAGGCTGGTCAACATGGTGAAACCCTGTCTCTACTAAAAATACAAAAATTAGCTGGGCATGGTGGCGGGAGCCTATAATCCCAGCTACTCAGGAGGTTGAGGCAGGAGAATCACTTGAACCCAGGAGGCAGAGGTTGTAGTCAGCCGAGATCTTGTCACTACACTCCAGCCTGGGGACAGGGCGAGACTCCATCTCCAAAAAAAAAAAAAAAAAAAAAGAAAGGTGTTTCCCTTGTACTGGTGCCCTGTTGCTTGGCTCCTGGCCTCCCTTCTAGACCATCAGCTCCCTGTGGGTGGGAGCTTGTGCCTTTGTCATTGGTCCATCCTCTATTCCGAGGCCCCGGGACATGGCCTGGAACATCAGAGACTCCAGCGGCTGCTTCTCAAAGTGAACTGAATTAGCTGGTGTTTCCCACACATTGGAGCCCCTTCAACCTGCCCTCGATTCTCTCCTGACTTATTTCTCCCCACATCTTGGGCCAGTTCCAACTGGACTAGCAAAGAGGGCAGCTTTCCCTCTGTCCTCCCAGCGTGCCCTACTGGGTGGCATACGGATGGGGGAGCCTGGGACGATGGGTGTCCATCTCATAGACGCTCTACTTCCCGTGCCAGTGGGGAAAGTGGAGGCAGGAATAGAGCCCAGGAGGAAACTGCCAGAGACCGTCTTCTCTGCTAAGGCTGACAGGAAGATGGACAACCATGACAGTGGTTGAAGGGGAAGGCCCTTGTCCCACAGGGAATAACTCTGGGATCTGACTTGTTTTTGGGGACCTGGTTTGGGCAGGAGCCCCTGGGGTGGCTGCAGAAGGAAGCTGGGCTTCACAGACCCCCATCAGCAGGCAGGGGCTACACCCTCTGTACCAGGTTTCTACTCAGGGCAGCAGGGCCCGGAGTTACCACCAGAGCTGGGGAGGCTGCAGAGGAGGCTGAGAGATCCATGGGGGAAGAGCGTGGTGGAGAATAGCTCCTGGGCTCCTCTTCCACGGCCACTCGGACCAGCCTGGGCCCTCTGTGCCTTAGGATTCCCGTTCCTAACATGGAACTCATGGCCTTTGACCGGCTTCCCTCACGGGACTGCTGAGAGGGTCAGAGAAGAGGCCGCATGGGGACTGGCCTCACCCTGGGAGAACTGTGCAAGCCAGGAGGTCCCATGTTGCATGACAAGTCAAATGCTGTCAGGATGACTCCCAGGATGAGGAGGTCTGAGCCCACGCTGGTCGTATGGACAGGTCTGACCCTAGAATTTATTTCCTCTTTCCCTGCAGGGCAATCCTTCTACTCCCGGGTCCTGGAGAACTGTGAGGATGTGGCTGACTTTGACGAGGTAGGAGGCCCAAGACCACCCCCTCCCTCAGCCCTGAGCCCAGAGGGGAGCAAGCACCCTTCACTGCCTCTTGTGGGCACACACTGGCCCCAAATCCCAGGCGCCAGCCTGCTCTGAGCCCCTCACCTCTCAGCTGCTTCCTGAAGGAGGTGGTGAGGAGGGGAACAGCAGCCTTGCCCACCTCGACAGCCCTGCCAGGTCTGGGCCTATTATTCCCTGTGGAGAAAGAGCCCACAGGTGCTGTAGACCTGAATGTGAGCCACCAGCTGAGGGCCCAACGAGGCAGGTAAGTGTTGGGGACATCGCAAAGGCCAATCTGTGTCAGTCCTCAAGGTTGGAAGAGCAGGGCAGCCCCAGGCACTGAGGTGGGAGCCCCGGTCACCAGGGAAACATTGTCAAGCACCCCACCTGAGTCAGGGCGCCATCTCCAGACCTTGAGGGGAAACATGGGGAAGAGAAGACAGTCTGGATTTTCAGCAACAACTCTGGGGGTGCCATGAGAAAAGACGTGAGCTGCTGGTCTATTGACAACGATTTTTCTCAATCCTCACTCCAGCTGGGCTGTTGTCACAATTTTATCAGCAAAGGAGTAGGCGACACCATCCCACGGGAGTGTCTGGGAGCGGTGAGAGGACTTAACAATGCTTCCCTCTCCCTGCCCGTCCCCTCGGCACCTGGCCTGTCTGGGAGCCCCATCCTTACACACACACACACCAGTTCAAGCAGCCCGCGGCCTCCTCGGCCTCCTCACATTCTTTCATCTATTTGTTTGCTGCTTCCAGAATCTATATTCCCCCCTGGCTGCTGTAGTTTCTCCAGGGTTGACTTTGGGGTGAGGACCAGCAGTCGTCCATCACCATCTTGGCCAAACTGGAAGCTCCATGGTGACCCTCAAATAGTGTACCCCCTCTTGCCTGGGCTTGGCTTTCCTGCTTGGCTCTGTGGGGGCTGGGAAGGGCCTTATGGCAGACTGTACCTCTTGAGGTTGGCTGCTGGCGTTCGGCTGAGCAGCCACCAGGCTGACACTTGGCACCAGCTGTCTCCCTCCCTCTGAAACCGGGCCACATGATGTGGCTGTGTCCATCGACCCAGAGCTGGAGACACAGGGAGCAAAGCCTCACTCCTCACTCAGGCTCAGACACAGCCATCAACCGTCGCAGCCCACCACCACGCCCTCCCCAACCACTGTGGGGCACAGTTGCCACTACCTCCCTGGTACATCCCTACTGCTACACAGGACAGGTGAATTGTTCATTTAAAGTGAATCACTAGAGCTAGGGAAGTTTCTGTCCTTACCTTCTCCCCCTCCTGGTTGTACAATGACCTCGGTTTCTAAACCCGCCACCATCTTTGTCAAATGGGATTGGTGATGGGTGTGAAGGTCTCTGTAAAATGATTAACAAAATGAAGGGTTATGGTGAGAGTGGAACCATGGTTGCCCACTGAGACAGCGGTCATAGAGGCTTCAGGCTTGCTGCATTATACACCCAGTCTGCTCCCTCCCCTCCCCATTTCCTCAGTCAGGGCACTGGGCTGGCTGGGTGAAGATTCCAGCAGCCTGGCCCAGTTTCCCATAGTCCTACCTCCCTGGGCTTCTGCCCACTAATCCGCCAGGCACAGCATCTGACTCCCTCCTCCCAAGACTCCCAGGGGACATGTCAGCCCAGGCATCCAGCCAGGGGGCAACCTGATGCCCCTTCCAAGGGCACTGCCACCCCTTTCCATGCCCAGCGCCCCGGACACCTGAGCCACAGGTATGCATGACATTCAAAGTTAATCACCGTGTCCTTCCTCTTCCCAACTCTACCCAACCCACCTCAGGGGGAGAGTCTGTCTCTGCTGGCCCTGAACAAGAGGCCACATTCTGAGCATCTAATGAATGCCAGCCTGGGCTTGAGATACTCCAGAGGGAGGAACCTGGGCTCAACACCCCATGATGATTTGTATGGGAGCTTAGGGATAGGGTAGCCAGAGTCAGTGTGGAGAGACTGGGGCGGGGCAGAAGCCAGGCAGTTATGGGAGGAAGCATGTGACTAGGGTCAGAGAACAGGGCACGCGATGGGGAGAAGTGGCTCCGACCTGGGGAAAGTGCTGCCCACCCACTGGGGAGACAGGCGCGTTTCTGGCTGTCACAATGAGGAATCTGCTGGCATTTAGTGAGGCGGGGAGCAAGGATGTAAAATGACTCGCAACACTCAGGCCATCTCGCACTTCCCACCTGGGAGCCCCGTGGGAAGATGGTGGCAGCCCCAGAAGCAGCCCTGAGCTGCTTCCTGAGCCATGCCCCTTCCACTCAATCTCTGAAATAATCCACAGATGGAATCAGGCTCGGATGGTAACTACCCTTCCCCAGGTAACAGAGCTGGAAGCGGCCAAGCCAGGGCTCTGAATTCTTGCGTAGATGAGACCTAAGCCTCTCTGGATACAGTGATAGGGCCTGACTCCCACCACCCCTGCAAGGCCCGTGTGGAAGTCTCTCCACGCCCCCTGCCGCCATTTCTCCCTGTGCGAAGTGGCTGCATCTCTGGCCACCACTGGTCAGCAGTGCACATCCCACGAAGCCGGAAGGCCACCCTCCTATCCCCTGTTCGGGAAGGGCCCGGAGGCCTGGGTCAGCCCAATCCCAAAGATAGCCTGGAACCGTACCCTGGCTTTAACCTCTCTCTCTAGACCCAGTGGGTAAGTCGTAAACTTCCCTGGCATCCCCCTGAAAGAACCTGCCTGCCAGTGGTTCCAGAATATCCTGGGAAAGAGGCCCTTTCAAATCCCCCAAAAGCCTCTTGACTTTCCAGAAAGCCTCTTCTCTCCGCCTGACTCTGCCCAGGGCCTGCAGGAGCCAGCTTAGCGAGACTCAGTGGCTTGGGAGTCATGAGACCTGCACCACAGTCCTTGCTGAGGAACCTCTTTGGGCCTTGCATTCCCCTTCTGTAAGAGAGGGATATGCTCCCTGCTCTGCCTGCCCCCACGGGACTGTCACAAGGCTAGAAAAAATGAAATGACAGAGAAGAAAGCAAGTGTCTCTCACAGCTCTACTAGGTAAGGGATTCCAAGCAAGGGAGGGGCCCCTTCTCTGCTCAGGCATGGGTGAGAGGGGCTGCAGCAGCTGGGCTTAGGAACCTGAGTGGGGAGGAGGAGGCCATGGAAGAAAGACAATGCTCTCTACAACAATGGGTGAAAACAGAGCCTGGACATGGTGTCTCCTTTCCCAGAGGCTGGAACCTGAGCTCCTACATTTAACCTACAACACTGGAAAAGCTATGGAGAGACAGAGAAAGACCCAGCCTTTGTGCCCTGGGGAAGCAGGAGTAGCCACCTTTAGCCAGTTTGCTTTGGCTCTAACACAGGCCCTGTGTGGACCAGGCCCCAGGGGAGAGGCCAGAGTAACAATAGTACTTGGAGCAATGATAAGAACTGCTGCTGTTTACCGAGCACTTAGTGTGTGGCAAGATGGGTTGAGAGCTTGACACAAGCATTAGACTCTCTAGAACTTGCTGGGCTGGTCACATCCTAGGTGATAAGGAGCCACACCAGGATTTAAACCCAAGTCTATCTGATTCCAGGACCTGTGGTCATTTGCAAAGTAGACAAGATTCAGTCCTGCCCTCAAGGGGCTCAGTCTGGTGGGCAGATGGACCCACTACCAACAAGGAGGGACCCTGGGCCTTCTGAGCCCAGAGGAGGAAGAGGTCACCAGCCTGGGGGATGACAGGGCAGGGGAGTTTGGCATTATCTGCCCCTTTCTGCTTGTCCCTGGAATTCATGGGCTGTTACCTCCTGGAGGCCAGAAACGCACCTGTCTTGTTCATCATTGGCGTGGCACCCAGCATGGAGCTCAGAAAATGTTGTCGAGTGAAAGAATGAACAAAACAGTGATATTCACTAGGACTGGCACCTGTCACCACAGGCCTGTGCCCAGACGAAGTGGGCTCAGCAGGGCTAGTGGTACATCAAGCCCTTTGCTGTGGCCTGGATAGAAAGGAAGCAGTCAAGGCACAGACGAGATCACCTAAGGGGACTTTAGATCACCTTGATCTCTAAGGTTAGAGATCATCTAGTTTAACCCTCTTGTCTTGCACTTGAAGAAACAGGTCTTAGAGTGGGGAAGAGAATTGCCCAAGAAGACCAGCTGAGATCTGAGATCCTACATTTAACTTACAACTCTGAAGAAACTGGGGAAAGAGACAGAGACAAAGACAGAAACAGAGAGAGAGACAGAGAAAGACTCAGCCTTTGTGTCCTGGGAAAGTGAAAAAGCCACACTAGGGATACTGAGCCCAGGTCTTTAAGCTCACAAATCCGTTTCTTTCCCACTATACTCTAAAGCAGCAGTCCCCAACTTTCTGGCACCAGGGACCGGTTTCGTGGAACACAATTTTTCCACAGACTGGGATGGTGGTGGCCGGGGGTGATTTGGGGATGAAACTGTTCCTCTTCAGAACATCAGGCATTAGGTTCTCTTAGGGAGTGCACAGCCTAGATCCCTGGCATGTGCAGTTCACAGTGGGGTTCACATTCCTATCAGAATCAAATGCTGTCCCTGATCTGACATTAGGTGGAACTCAGGCGAGAATACTCGCTCACCCGCCGCTCACCTCTTGCTGTGCGGCTCCGTTCCTAACAGGCCATGGACTGGTACCGGTCCATGGCCCGGGGTTTGGGGACCCCTGCTCTAAAGCTTTGTAGTGCATCTCAATATTTTCCCCCAAACCTACAACCCTGTCCCTTTAAGGATGCTACCTTGCTGATTTAGGATGGTTCCAGGCCCAGTCAGGGGCCAAGCTGGACATAATCCAGGTCATTCTCCAAAGTGCATCGGGGAAACTTTTTCTGCAGAGTCCTAGATCACTGGGGCTGATAGGATGCAGAACCTTGCGCCCTGGCCAGCACCAGCCAGGTCAGGGCTAAGCCTAGACCAGAAAACTGGGTCAGGATTCAGCACTCCCAGGGCTCCTGAGACCGCCCCTGCAACAGAGGCCCTCTTTCCCTCCGTATCTGTACTACCTACCGTCTTGCTTCTGTCAACAGTCTTATCCCAGGCTGCTATTCCGGGTCAGTGTCTGTCTCCAGAACTATCCAGTACTATCCCCAGGACTGAGAAACAACCTGCATCCCTGTGCTCTGCACAGCGTCATGCACAGAGCCTGGCACACAGCAAGTACTCGGCAAATGTTCGCCCCCAGCATGGGGCTTGCTGGCTCGTGACATCTTGAGTGACTATATTTGGCTTAACTGCCCAGCAGTACCAGGCTTCAGGAGAGGGTTCAGTGTAGTGGATTAAGCCCTAAGGCAGAACTCCAGACTAAGCATTCTGAGACTTGAATTTGAATCTTGCCTCTGCCACCAAGCAGCCTTGTGCCCCTGGGCAACTCTCGCCTCTCCACTTTCCCACTTGTAAAAGGAGCACATCTTTGCCATGTTGCTGTGAGTTTGTTATGGGTAAAAGGTGCTCTGGAAGTACTAAGTGGTACCCAGATGAAATTCTTCCTTCAGAAGCCCTTTTCCTTCAATTTTTTTTTTTTTTTTTTGAGGCGGAGTCTTGCTCTGTCACCCAGGCTGGAGTGCAGTGGCGCCATCTTGGCTCACTGCAACCTCTGCCTTCTGGGTTCAAGCGATTCTCCTGCCTCAGCCTCCCAAGTAGCTGATATTACAGATATGCACCACCCACCCGGCTAATTTTTGTATTTTAGTAGAGGCAGGGTTTTACCACGTTGGCCAGGCTAGTCTCAAACTCCTGACCTCAAATGATCTGCCCACCTCGGCCTCCCAAAATGCTGGGATTGCAGGTATGAGCCACTGCACCCAGCCCCCTTTCCTTCAATCTAGTAGCTCATAAATTCAATGGCAGAGTCAGGAGAGGAGTGTGGCTCCCAAGCCCTCAAAGTCCTCATCTCGTCTTGCTGTGTTCTCAGCATGTCACCCCAAATGGAGGAAAGGACATAACCACAAAAATGAGGAGACAATGAAAACTGAAATTAGGAAGAGAAGAAGCAGTGAAAGAGACATGTGAAATCCATAGGCCGAGGCAGAAAAGGAAAGTGATGGGGGTCAGGGGGAGGAAGGTGGCATGACAGGGAGACGGGACAGCTGCAGACCTGCACAGAGTTCCCACTGGGAAAATCTAAACCAAAAGCGTTCTGCAGTGCTGTGTCGCTTATGACTGCTGTCACCTGTGAGATCTCATTCAATTCCCTCAATAGCCCTCTAAGGTAGATATTGTCACCTCCCATTTCACAGATGGGGAAGCTAAGGCACAGCTAGTGAGTGGCAGAGGCAGGGCTAGAACACAAGTCTCCTGACTCAAACTTAGAGTTTCTGCAACACCACGGAGACTCCCAGTCTGCATGAGATGCGAGCCTCAATGTTGTCAGAAGAACAAAAGGAAGCAAAGGGTGGGCATGTCCTTTGGAGCTCTGTAAGGTACCCAGACCTCACAGACGCTGCCTGAGCAAAGGAAGGTGTCAGCAATGGGAGATGGGCCTGGCAATGCTGTCTGGGCACAGCAAGGGGGTCTCTGGGTGCTGGGAAAGGGAATCCCCACCTCTTTCAGGGAGCTGTGAAGGAGCCGTTTAAAAGTTTTAACAAAGGAGAGATGAAAAGAGAGGAAAATTCAACCCAAAAAGTCTCCTTCTTATAGCCCATGCCTCTGCTTGTAGGGAGGTCAAATGGGAGAAACCCCCAGTCCCAGACCCTGAGTCACTTCCCTCTAGCAGGGAGGCCCATCACCCTCCGAGGCCCCACACTGATGCCAGGACCCCACCTAGAGGTGCCGGCTTGATCCGTCTCCAGGCCTGGGCCTTGGGATTTTTAAAAGCTTCTGGAATGGATTCCAGTTCCAGCCAAGATGAAGAACCCCTGAGAGAGACAGAGGGAGACAGAGACAAAGGAAGAGATAGAGATAGAGAGAGAAACTGATGAAAGAGAAAATGGATGTGGCGAGGAGAAGAAAGCACAGGAACGACGCGGGAGGGAAGGAAAAGAGAAATGAGGGGAAAGCCTCTTGTGGGTGGAAAATGTGGGAGGGAGACAGACCTATCTATAAAGCACGGAGCAAGTCAGAGACTGAAGAAGCTGCTGTGATTCAGTGAGGACCCTGTCTTCTCCCTCGCCCGGGAAGCCTCTGTCACTCAGTGAGGACCCTGTCTTCTCCCTCGCCCAGAAAGCCTCCAAGAAGAACTTTCCCCTCTGACGTCTTCAGGGACTGCCCACACCTGGCTGATGAGTTCCTGAAAGGGCACCTGAGCCACACACCTACACACGCTTCCCTGATTATTCTCATCTGCAGTCAGGGGCCCTTCTGGAAGCCCCCTCTCTCCTGGACCCTGCCTGACACCCAACTCTCACTCAACAAACTGGTCCTTGCCCCCCAGCCAGGCAGTCTCCCTCCCCAGGTCCCTTAGCCTCAGCCTCCGGCCACCATTCAACACCCGCCATCCCTTTCACAGGGCCATCTCCAAGGTCATGTCCTTTATTCCTGATCTTTCTCTCCTTCCAATGCCAAAATCCCACCCACAGACCCTTAGGGGGTTGAATCACTCCTCCCTGCTTCATCCTCAGTAAACCGAATCTCGGCAGCTCCTGCGGCACCCCGACTCCCACGCGGCACTGTGACTGATGAGCTGGGCCTTCCTGGGCTGCTTTATTTCCCTGCAGCCCCATAAAAGCAGCTTCATTAAGAGAACCACACACTGCTGAGCTGCCAGAGGCATCCAGAAGCTGGAGCCGCAGCCGCTGAATGAGGCCTGTGGGCCAGGCTGCCTCCACTTCCAGGGCCCCTCAGCCCACCCTTCTGCCCTGTGCCCACTTTGCCTTTAAAGCCCTCCCTAGGCCCTGCTCAGAACCCTCCCCACCGCACCCTGCAGACCCCTCTCCCCCTCCTCTGCTTCTTCCTCCCTCTCATGCCAAGGCCGGGTCCTCCCTGGGACTTAGCCAGTCCTGAAGGGAGATGTCACAAAGGCTGTTTTCCTGAAACACGCCCTGCCCACACTGGGCAGTGACCTGCGGGCTGGCCCAGTGTGCCCAAGCCCTCCGAGCCCCCAGGCTGGGAGAAGGAATCTCAGCTTTGGAAATGGCAAACATGCAGGGTGGGCTCTCAGAAGCCTCCTTCCCAGGGCCTGCTCAGCCACCAACGGAGTTTCCGAATCACGCAGCTGCTCTGAGGCCAAGTTCCTTGTTTATAGAGCACAGAAGCCACTACCTGCCTCTCGGGCCATCGGAAAGACTAAATGAATGAATGCACATAGAGCATTCAGACCCTTGCATGAGAAAAAGTTCCCCAGAAATGGCAGCTATTATTACTATTATTATTTATTATTGGCCTATTGAGCAGTCTGAATTTGGTAGGGTATAAAAATGGAGCTAAAAAATAAAAAGTCACTGTCTTCCACCCGACCTGTCAAAATCCTCCCTGACACGGCCTCTCCACAGCGTGTTGAGCAGACCTCAGCGCCGTGTGGTCCTGTCCAGAAGGGCTTCCTACTCCAGTCTGGCATCCTATTCACCCCTGGCCATCCCCCTTCCCTCATGCTTGTGGCTCAGGACATGGAGTGGGACAGGGACCCCTGCTGAGGCCCTCCACATCCTCCCCTGGTGGGCAGCCCATGGAAAAAGTGTCATTAGATCACTCGACCCCACTTGGCCAATGGAGCGCAACTCGAAGACTTGCCACAGCCAACAGTGGCAGGTTGGGCTCCTTGCCTTGCAGTGCTCCATCGGTCTCCTGCCAGTCCACTGCCCTACAGATGCCACTGGGGATTTGCATGCCATGCTGCCCTTCTTGCCGGTAACTAATCGCCATGAGCTGTTTCCCCAAGAAGCACCACAAAAACACTACACCCAGGACAGAATTCTTCCCACCTTTCCCTTGCCCAGTCTTCTGTCCCATCCCAGGAAGGTGGGCTGGGTGATGGTTGGAGGTAACAGGGCCTTTGAGGAAGCCCTGGGAAGATGTCCGGCTCTGCCCATTGGCTGCTTTTTACAGAATGGGGCACTAGGCCACTTTAGCCTCTGTTTTGAGCCCTTGTTGCCATTTCTAGGGCACCAGGAAAAATCCCAATCAAATTCCTACTCATCACTAACATTAAGTTAGGGAGGAAGCAACACAGAAGTGGTAAGGGTGAATCCAGAAACAGTGAGCTGGGGACAGGCTGTGGGTCTGACCCCAGGAACACTAATCAGCTCAAACCTGTCCCTGATGTTACCATTGGCAGAGTGAGGAGTGGTCTGAACTCAACATAGGAGTCTGGGGCAGAGCCCACACCAGTCAGGGTGATCCTGATGGGAGAGAGCTGGAAGCTCACAGCTCCATTCAGCACTCGCCAAAAACCAGGCTCACATCCACAATCCTTGCTGTCTCCCTGGGGCCCGACCACCACCCTGGTTGCACCGCCTTCTCCCAAGCCCCCTCAGGAACTAGGAGGCCATGGAAACAGCACTGTGTAGGGAGTCAAAAGTCCTGGTAGGTCCAGACTCTTCGCCTACCACATGACCTTGGGCAGGTCCTCCAACATCTCCGAGCACCATCTTTGAAAGAGGAGTGGGCACCAATGCCGGCTCTGCAAGGTGGTCGTTGGAACTAAATGAGATTCCAGGTGTCAATGCTTTGTCCCTGGGGAGCACTGGGCCCAAGTGAGGGGCCATTCTGGCTGTTGGAGACCCCCAACAGAGATTCCCCTCCCACGCCCCAAGGCTCCTACCTGTTATTGCCACCAAAGCCACAGTTGTTCCTCTCTCCCCAGACGTTTCGGTGGCCAGTGGCCAGCAGCATCGACAGAAATGAGATGCTGGAGATTCAGGTTTTCAACTACAGCAAAGTCTTCAGCAACAAGTAAGTGTGGGATGGGGCAGGAGGGGCTGGGCCTGGAGGGGCTGGGAGCCTGCCCTTCTCCTTGGGCTACCGTATGTTTGGGGCTGAAAAGAGGGACCTACACTCCCAACCTGCCCTGGCTTGATCTTCAAAGACCGAAGAAGTCTTGGGCTGGTCTTTGATCCCCATTTTGCTCCCTCATCTTGTCGTCAGAATCCCCCAGTCCTCCCAGCTGCTGTCAGCCAAGAACATTCCACCCTCCTGTCACCCCTTCTGTCTCCAACCCCATCAAAGCTTCCTGTCCCTTTCTTTAAGTCTCCCTCAATGCTATGCTGGGGTACAGTTACCCACTGGAGAGGTGAAAGGTGGAGGGGCTGAAGATCTCCTCCAAGAAACACTCTGTAGCCCTGAGGGCAGGCTTGATAGTTTGGGGTGGTGGTTTAGGAGTCAGGCAAGCCTGATCTCAGACACTCAGGTCAGTCATCTACTGTGTGACCCTGGAAAAGTTACATAACCTCTCTGATTTCAATGTGCTCATGTGTGAAAAAGACAAGTATTTACCTCAAAGGGCAGCTGTGAGAATTCAATGAGATAGATGTTCACTCACTCATTCAACAAATGTTTACTAAGCGCCGATTGTGTATCAGGTACTGAACTAGGTGCTGCAGAGGGCGGGTTGCCTACCCTCATGGAGCTTGCACTCTGCAAGTGAAGTACACCTGCCGTACGATCATTATCACTATGAGGTGTTCAATAAAAGTAGTTGTTGTCCTTCTCTCTGGGTCACAAGAAGAATTCAGAAGGATTTGAACAGGCTGGAACAGTGGCTACGTACTATCTTGGATTCAAAAATGACAGCCAGGTGTGGCACACACCTGTAGTCCTAGGTACTTGGGCAGATAAGGTAGGAGGATCATTTGAACCCAGGAATTTGAGGCTAGCCTGGGCAACATAGTGAGATCCCATCTCTTTTAAAAAAGTCGGTCGCTCTTATACAAGCTGGAGGTCATGGCTTAACTATAACATGTCCAAAAGATGTGGAGGTGTTAGCTCACTGAGGACTCAGAATAACTCAACAGTGGGAGGAGACTACAAAGAAAAGAAGAGTAGGCTTCATTCTAAATCATACTAATAGAATTAAAGCACTTTTGATCTAAGCAGGAGAGACAAGGAGTCCACTGCTCTGATACTGGTGGCAGAGAATTCCTGCAGGCACCACCCTATAGTTGCCAGGAGGAAAGGAACTTTAAGTGTTAACTTATGACAAATAGATGAGAGCATGAAAGGGAAAATCATAGAGGTCATATTCATCCATTCATCAATCCATTGATTCATTCATCCATCCATCCATCTATCCTTCCTGTTATTCATCCATCTGTCTATCCATTTGTCTATCCATCAGTTGATTCATCCATCCATCCTTTCTTTCATCCATCCTTCCATCCTTTCATTCATCCATTCATCAGTCCATCTCTCCATCCATTTATCAATTCATTTATGCACCCGTTTATCCATATATCAATTCATCCATCCATCCTTTCATCCATCCTATCCATCCATCCATCCATTCACCCATCCTTCCTCCCATCCATTCTTTCATCAATCCATCATTCCATCTTTCCATCCATTCATCCACCACTCATCCTTTCATCCTTTCATTCATCCTTCCATCCACTCATCCATCCATTCATTCATCCTTCCATCTTTTTTTCTTTTTTTGAGATGGAGTCTTGCTCTGTGGCCCACAGTGGAGTGCAGTGGCCTGATCTCAGCTCACTGCAACCTCTGCCTCCCTGGTTCAAGCTATTATCCTGCCTCAGCCTCCTGAGTAGCTGGGATTATAGGTGCCCGCCACCATGCCCAGCTAATTTTTGTATTTTTAGTGGAAATGGGGTTTCACCACGTTGGCCAGGTTGGTATCGAACTCCTGACCTCAAGTGATCCACCCACCTCAGCCTCCCAAATGCTGGGATTACAGGCATGAGCCACCACTCCTGGCCCATCCTTCCATCTTTCCAGTCACCAATCCATCTGTCTATCCATTCTTTCATTCTTTCATCCATCCTGCCATCCATCATCCTTCCTTCCATCCATTCATCCATCCTTTCATTCTTTCATCCATTCATCCATCTATCCATCCATCTTTTCATCCAACCTTGCAGTCACTCATCAAACATATAGTGAACAAATGCTTTCTGCCAGTCAGACACTATGCTAGTCACTGGAGATACTGAGATGAGGGATTTAGGCACAGTCCCTGCCACTACCCTCCCAGAAAGTTTTTTTGCCACAGGAAGAGGAAAGAAAGGTGTGTACCTAGAGGCAGGATGAGGGACAGGCTGCTGGAAGACAGCAGACCACTGAAAGATAGCCAGCACTCTCCAGCCAATGTGCTGTCTTAGGAGGCAGTGAGCTCCTTGCCACTGGGAGAAGGTGAGCAAAGAGTGGACCACGTTGTAGAGGGGATTTCTGAGTCAGGAAAGACCCGACCACATGGGCTCCAAGGAGTCTCTGATTCTGTGGCTTTTATTAGGAGCTTTCAAAATCTCAGCTGAGTATGGAGCAAGGGCATTTCAGGCCTGCTAGCAGGGCCACAGGGAGGATGTTTAGGGCACAAAGGCCTTCCCTTTGCCTCTCATGGCATCACACCATTCAGGCAGCTGCCTTTGGCACCCACAAGCAAGGTTGGTGAGACACTCCCCACTAGGGGGGCCCCAAGGTGAAGCACAGCCTTCTTCCCTGGGGTGAGATACTATGAGGGTATGTGACCTATGAGGACAGGAGAAACAGGAACAGGTGGAAGGCTCACACACAGGCCAAGTGGGTGTGAAAGAGGAAACAGAATCGGAAGTCAAGCACCAGGGAGGGCACCTGAGAGCCCCTGCAGGAACCCAACTGTAGGTGCCAAAGCATCCAGGAGCCTTACAGCTTGGCCAGTACAACCCTCGCTGTGCAGGAGGGGAAACCAAGTCTCAGAGGGGATCCTGAGATCACAGGGGTAGACAATGGTAGAGCCAGGGCTAGAATGCATGTCTGTTACCTCCTCTTCCTAATCCAACTCCCAGAAACCAAAATATCTGAGCAGTGATGGTGGAAACCGAGGGCATGGAAGACATTGTTAAATAATTTACAATGAAAGCTGCCAGCCTAACCACTGAAATGCTGGAAACCCTTGAGCCCATCAAAAGACTGCTACGAACAAATCAGATGTATTTGGGAGATTGGGAAATTGACTACCATGCAGTGAATATGTTGAAAGTTCCAGCTTCTATTAGGTATTTTCGTTTTTGTTTTGTTCGGAGATGGAGTCTCACTCTGTCCCCCAAGCTGGAGTGCAGTGGCGTGATCTCGGCTCATTGCAATCTCTGCCTCCCTGGTTCAAGCGATTCTCCTGTCTCAGCCTCCCGAGTAGCTGGGACTACAGGTGCACGCCACCATGCCTGGCTAATTTTTGTATTTTTAGTAGAGACAGGGTTTTTGCCATGTTGGCCAGGCTGGTCTCAAACTTGGTTTCAGGTGATCCACTTGCCTCGGCCTCCCAAAGTGCTGGTATTACAGGTGCCAGCCACCGAACCCAGCCTGTATTAGGTGTTCTTAAGTGCCAATAAGAAGGAAGACAGAAAGGGACATAGTTCCTATCCTAGCTCTCCTCTTCTTCTTCCCTCCCTGCCCCCATCCAAGAGAAGGCAGGAAACCCCACAAGGGGAGGCCCAGACCCGGTGAGAGAGGTTCTGCCATTTCTGTGGAAGCCTAGAGAATGCCTAGGGCACTGTTGGCTGCAGAGCGGTGATGGGAAAGAAGAGGTCCCCTCATGGAGAGCACAGGCCCAGGCTGACACAGGTCAGCTTGTGGGGGTCAGAGTGGGAGAAAGGTGTTTGAAATGATGTGACATTCAAGTCTCCCCATCCTGGCATTTGCCTTGGCCAGGCCAGAGGAGCAATAAGGCCACTGCCCTCAACCCCTACATGGCCCAGCTCAGACCCCAGGCTCCTTCTCATGGGGCGGCTGAGTGGAGGGGGTCTTTGGGTCTGCACTGGGCTTAGCAATGAGCAAAGCCATGGCCACTGCTAGGGACAGTGCCTGGCACATAGCAGGTCCCTGATTATTTTGTGAAATAAAAGAATGAATAAATGCCCCCGTGGTGTTAGGGGTATACCCTCTGTATACCCCAGGGAATGGGAGAGTCTTTGAGAGGGAATCAGAGTGGCCCTTCTTTTCTGAAGGACTGAGGGCACTCAAGGGTGACACTCAGCATCACATGACTGATGGACTTGGGGAAACTGAGTTAAAGGAGGCATGGAGGAGCTGCCTGGGAGAGTGGGGCCCAGCATGAGAAATGAGCCTGATCCCATCACTGCCATCTCAGACAGAGGGATTTGTCCTAGAAGCCGAGAGCAGCTTGGAAACTGGCCCCTCACCCAGTGGTTCTAGAGGCTGCCAGGAGGCAGACATGGTATGAAGAAACCAGGAGACCTCCAGGTCTGCTCGGCCCCATCTGGAACGAAGACCTGTGTCCAGGAATCTTGGGCTTCCCCATAGGAAAGAAATGTTGGGTTCAGAAGATTTTGTGCATCCAGCTCTGCCTGTCTGGGACCTCTGAGGGGCCATGGCCTGGCCTCCAGCCTCCTGCCTGCTGAGGATGCCAGGGGCCCTGAATAATTCAGGTGCCAGGAGAGCAGGAGAGGCCTTGCAGGGCCCAGGACACCTGACACGGGCTCCCAGGGGAAAGTGATGAATTATTGACAGGATTCTGGTGCCCAGTTGCCGCTCTATTGTGGTCAGTCTGTGGGCCCACCTGGGCTGGAGGCCTCTTCCTGCCAGCTAATTATGTGGGGATCCTAGCTCTGCCCAGCCGCCCAGCCCCTCGTGGAGCCAGTCAGTCTCCTGTGAGGGGCACCCTCTTTGCCATGGTGACCCGGATGGCCATGTAAGGCAAGTAGTCAGAGGACATGGAGTTAGCCCCAGCTCCTTTGCCTAACAGCCCCAGGGAAACTGAGGCCCAGAGAGGCCTCTTGTCCAGGGTCACGCAGCAGATTCAGGACAGTCAGGTCTTCACCCCAGGCCTTGTGACGCCCGGGCCAGTGCTCCTTCCCGCAGAACACATGGCCTCACAACTCCATTCCCAGGGAAGTGACTTGGCTGTCTAAGGGGCATTGAGCCCACCCTTCCTCAGTTGTCCTGGGCCCCACTCTCCCAGGCAGCTCCTCCATGCTGACCTATGCAGAGGATCAAGACCCTACTATGTGTGCAGCCAGGATGCACAAAGGCCAGCTGCGGCAAGCAGGGTCGCCTCTGGGGTCACCGCAAGGGCTAGAGCCAGGGGCTTCCCTACCTCTTCCCGTCCCAGCTTCTTCCCAGAGAATATCTTCAGAGGACGGGCTGAGGGATGGCATCCTAGAAGCAGTGCCAGGGCCTTTGTTTTGAAACTATTTTCATGGCAAGCACTGTGTTTTTGCTTAAATGGTATGTTACAGACCTGTAGAAAGAGCCAAGGTTTATAAAACTGCTTTTCTTTATACTTTACATAAGGCTGAGATAATATCAATTGTCTATGTCAAATAATATAATTTTTACTTTTATTTGAGAGAGGTTGGGGATGAACTGTTAGGTGTTAAAACCCCCCAAGCCACTTCTGGGAGTGTGGCAAATTGATTCCTTTAATCTTGCAAGCTCCTAGCGTCCCAGTCCCACTCTCCGGGACATAGACAAGCTCTTGCTGTGCAAGACTGAGCAGAGCTTGAAGGGTGGGGGACAGCCTGGTTCTGCCCCTGAAGCCCATCCTGCAAAGGAGACCCCCCTGGGTGGGCCCTCCAGATGGCCAGCCCTGCGCATTATTAGGGAGGCAGGAGGGGCTGGCATTCAAATGCCGGTGGTGTTAGAGGAATTTCACATCATCAGTCTCCTCACCACTGTCCGGTGGAAGTCGGAGGGCTAGGACAAGGAGCCCAAACCACACCGCTGCCAGGGGGTGGAATCTCCCTTGGGTCCTGCTGAGTGAGCCCACATCTGTCTGACTCCAGAGCCCAGGCTCTTCACTGTCTACACTGCTTCCCTTTAGGGATGGAATTAGTCGCATGTGGACAGGGCTCGGACCAGGGAGTGAAGAGTGGGGGATTTGCCTGGAGGCCAATCTCGCTCAGCACACTATGTGATTAAAGCAGTGGCTGAATGGACTACCAGTGACAGCCCCATCACTGTCACCACCACGGGAGTATCTATCAGAGGCTTGAAAGCACGTATCAGGGAGGCTGTTTCAGGGATTCCTCCTGGAAGGGATGCTGGGCAAAATCTCTCAGGTTCTTCCCAAGTCTAAGGTCTGAGACTCCGGCGGGTTAAGCATAGAAGGCACAAGACGCCTCTCTGAGCACTTGCAGGGGGAATAGCTCCACCCTGCCCCCTGGGGGTGTCTTGTCACATTGCAGCACCTCCATGGATCCTGGGGAGCTGCCTCTGCTGTTCTTAGGTATCTAATTCTGGAGAAAGATGTGCCTGATTGCCCCACGCTCAACAGGTGCTTGATAGGTCCTAGGGGAATCAAGGCATCTGAATAGCCATCCACAAAGGGTAACAGTAGAGCAGGGATTCTCAAAGTGTCTCCCCAGCCAGCAGCTTCAGCATCACCTGGAAACTTGTCAGAAATTCACATTCTCAGCCCCCCTCCCACCCACTGAATCAGAGCCCTGGGGGCGGGGCCAGTGGTGTGAACTGAAGTCCAGTGGACCCAGTTTGGTGACTTCACATTTGGAGCTTAAAGTTGGCCATGGCGGGAGTATTTAAACCTCGGTAACCAGCAAAAGCTACAGATCAGCACCTCTCCTCTCCCACCAGTGACACATTTTCCAGCACATCCACAGAGGAGGATATCCCAGCCATGTGTGTTTTCACAAGCCCTCCAGGTGATTCTGTTCATGCTGAAGTTTGAGAACCACTGATTTAGAACAAAAAGAGGTGAGGCTGAGAAAAGATGAGCGTATTCTTTTGTGCCCATGGTCTACTGTTAGAATGTCTACATGGTACGGAAGCTAAAAGTCCTCTTCCCTCTTCATTTTATAAAGACCAAATTGAGACTCAGGGGCAGTGGCTCCAGGGCTCCTGGCCGCCAGCCCAGCACTTCTGTCTCTGGGGCACTGCCTGAGCTGGGGAGAGGTGCATGCAGCTATGGAAGGCTTCCATGGGGCTGCTCTAAGAGCCCAGAAGCCCAGTTCGGCTTTAGAGTGAAGGAGGGGTGTGGTCAGTTTCACCCTCGGGGAGGTGGGGCGCGCTGGTGGATGGGGCTCTGAGCTCCAGAGGGGAGCATTTCATATCCATCCCTCAGGGCTGCCCCTACCGCTTCCTCCCCTCACAGAGATGGGAGGATTTTTTAAAAATCAGTGTTCACCCTCCATAGACCTCAAGGTGGTATAGACATCAAGCACGCCTAAGTCAGAATTCATCTGATTCCTCACCTCACCCAGATCTGGCTTTAATTAGCTGTGTCCTTTCCCCTTCCGTAGCCTCACCGTCTTCCTCTATAAATCTCAAGCAGCATCAGATGATGCCCAAGGTCCCTTCTAGCTCTCACACACCCTGGATGCTTCCCTCGCCTTTGTGCCTTCAGCTAGATACGGTGTGTGTGTTCTCAACCACCCCATGTGGAAGCACGATGTGAGGACGTCTCTCTGAGTTCCCTGTTCTCTCCAAGAGCAGCAAATGCCTTCTGACTGTGGAGTGCAATGGGGTTGAAGTCAACTCCATCAGCATTTATTGGGCACCCACTGTTGTTCATTATTTCAGCCAGCAGATATTGAGATCTCTAGTGTGCTAGAAATGTCAAACGGAGGCTGGAATAGAAAGCACTACCCTTGCCCTGGAGAGGCTCGCAGTTTAGAGGCAGCACATGAATAACGACCAACCAGACTGCTTCGGAGTGCTGGCTGTGCTGGGGGCTCTGATAAGAACACTCGCAGATGATCTCACTCAGTCTTCCAACAACAACTCTGTGAAGTAGGGCTTATCAGCTCATCTTATGAGAAAATTGAGACTGAGAGAGTTTAAGGAAGTTGCCCAGGAAGCAGGTAGCTCGTTAGTCAGTGTCAGAGCTGGATTCAGACCCCTGTCTCTTTGACGCCAGGACTGTGCTGTTAACCAAAGCATTGTACTGCCTCTCCCCTGCTGTGCAGATCCATGGGCTCTGCCATCACACAGGTTCCTGCCATCCAGGAACCTACAGGCTGCGGATGTGGAATGGATGAGTGAGTGCTGTTGGTGTGGGCTGGAAACCTCAGTCATCATTAGGGAGGTAGAAGCCGGAGGAGCTACTTGTCCATCCAGGAACCTCAGGTCCTTCCCCAGCCTCCACACTGAGCATCTGGAAACTTCTCTGCAAGGGCTCAGCTAAACCTGGATTCTGTGCACTCTTCCCCACATTCTGTAGACATCCCCTAAGGGTGCTCACTGCCCCTTGGAGCTCTGCCAAAGAAATGGGCCTCCCACAAACAACCATCCACAGTGAGACATGCTGCCCTGGCTGCAACCAGCCCTGGCTCCTAGGCCACCTCCAGCCCAGCCCAGAGCTGCAGCAAGCCCACCTCAGTCCTCCCTAAGCAGTCACAGCTCTTGGGATATCAGTCTTGCTCCTCACCCTGGTCTGTTCCATGTAACCACCGTGTGCCCTCTGCCGTCCCTAGGCTCATCGGGACCTTCCGTATGGTGCTGCAGAAGGTGGTAGAGGAGAGCCATGTGGAGGTGACTGACACGCTGATTGATGACAACAATGCTATCATCAAGGTGGGTGTGCCCCAGGAAGTTCCTGGACGTTCCCATATGGGGCCATCTGGGGGTCTGTTCTCCCTGCGCCACACATGGGGTGGTCTGGGGAATGCCCCTTGTGCATGGCGAGGTGTGGTGGGAGGAGGAGACTCAGGTCAGACTCTGCTGGAACGGCTCAATCTGTGGTCATGGCTGGAGGTCCTGTGGCATGGCAGGGTCTGCTGCCCCACAGGAAGCACCCCTGTCCTTCCTACGGTGAGAATGTGCCCTTCCATCTGGACCCAGCTCAGGAGTCATTAAAGAGGCTCCTCTCGTCATCCAAAGACCAGACTGAGCCCCGCTGGCACTCGAGGGCATGACCTTCACTCTGTGTATCTGGCTCCAGTCCTCCCTAGGAGGGCAGGGACCTCATTTCCTATTGTTTGTCACATCCCAGCACTTTTGCATGAGCACGCATGCACTAGTGACACACAGTCCAGAGGCACCTGATACATGTTCTAACAAAGAAGGAGGCAACCCTACCAAGACAGCCTGGCCCCAGGCTCTGCTCAGATTCTTCAGTCCTCTTGAACTCAGCCATGGCCACTCGTGGGCAGTTGGCATGACGGTGAGGAACAGGGACCCTGGGTATGAATCTTAGGTCGCTCACTAACTGTGATTTGGGCAAGCTACATATCACCTCAAAGTGAACACAATTATGGTATCCACCTCACAGGACTATTCTGAAGATTAAAGGAGAATACACAGAAAGTACTTAGAACAGATATGCACAATAAATCTATAACATTGTTAGCTATTATTTCCTGACCTCAGTTTACCCATGTATAAAATGGGGCTGTGCCATTGTCCCCCAATGGGGTCCTGTGTAATATATGACCCTATGTAGTGGCCAGGAGAAACAGCCTCAGAAGCTAGGACTGCAGCCACAGGGTGCTAGAAAAGAAGGAACCCTCTTCTCCCATGAGCAGGGGTGGGCAGAGAGGGCTTCTTAAAGTTACCGGGGTCTCAGCCACCACAGCAAGGGGAGAAGGGGTGCAGAACAAACTACGTATGGACACCCATGGGAAGGCGGGCTGGGAGGAGAGCACAGAAGCCTGGATGAAGAGTGTAGTGTGGGCAGTGAGATGAGAGAATTAGGGAGTGAGCAGGGATGGACAGACAGCACAGCCCACACCCTGGATTTTCAGAATCAGACTTAAGATGTCAGTGGAGGAAAGTACTCACAGATCTCCTAGCCCACTTGCCACCCATCTCCGCTGCCCATTGTTATGAATGGGAACAATGACGTCCTTGATGGGGAATGGATTTGGCCACGGTCAGAACGCTAGTCGACAGCAGGGCCAGCATGGACGCCCAGGACTTCCAATGCCAGAGACCACCATTTTCCCACAACAACATCCTTGGTTCCACCAAGAGGGTCACATTTGTTCCATGGAAAGGACATGGGGCTTAGAGTCAGTCAACCTGGGCTCAGGTCTTCGTAGCTGTGTGACTTAAAGGAAGTAACTTAACCTCCTGATATGCGAGGTAAGGTAGGTTGCAATGTTGAAAAGATCAAATGAGTGGACATTAAAATTAAAGCATCTTAGCATGATGTCTAGCACAGTGAGGGTTCAGAAAATATGTGCACCTTTCCCTTCCTTGGGAAATCTAAGCCTGGGTGCTGGAGTGTCTAAGCACTGAGTGAGGGCCGCCTGTCTGGGGCACAGGCATAAGTTACCTCCAGACCAGTGAGGAAGGGTGATCCCTGGGCACTGGGGGGAAACTAGAGCTGTGAGAAAGTAATGGCCCCAGGACACAGAGCAGGAAGCCCAGTCATGATTCTCCATTGCTAAGCCTGAGCCTGGGTTGAGTGCTCTACTTTTCCCAGAGGAAAACCCTAGGGCAGCTGCCAAGATTCCTTCCCTCTCCAGGGTAGAAAGGGTGGGTGTGAGCCTGAGGCCTGGGCTCCTCTCCTGGAGGCCACTTTCAGCTCATTCTGTCACATTTCCAACAAGCCGATTTCTGGCAGGTCGCGCTTCATGCCTGCAGGCAGCCCTTGTTCTGAGGAGAGGAGGTGGCCTGATCATGGGTATGCTAAACGACACTCTCAGTTGTCCCGGGCAAGCCAGGCCCCTCCACCTGGAGCACCAGGGAGGAGTGGAGCCACCAGCAGCGGGACCTGGAGTCAGATCCCAATAAGCTGACCGGGTCTGCGCAAGTCAGCCTTTCAGAGCCTCTGTTTTCTCATCAGCAAAATAGGGTAGAGGGGATCATACCATCCTAACCTCCTCCAGTGAGGCAAGGGTGTGGAAGCGCTGTATAGACACCACCAAGCAGCCATATATACGGGGTGGAGATAGCTGTCGCCATCCCAGCTGCTCACCACCACCTCCCTCCCTTCAGACCAGCCTGTGCGTGGAGGTCCGGTATCAGGCCACCGATGGCACGGTGGGCTCCTGGGATGATGGGGACTTCCTGGGAGATGAGTCTCTTCAAGAGGAAGAGAAGGACAGCCAAGAGACGGATGGACTGCTCCCAGGCTCCCGGCCCAGCTCCCGGCCCCCCGGAGAGAAGAGCTTCCGGAGGTAACAGGAAGGGCCCCTCTGGCTGCCCACTGCTCCCAAGACACGGGGAAGAGGCCTGGGGCCTAGTCCCCTTGACAGGCCTCTCTAGGCCTAGCTGGGCTCAGAGTACAGGGCTGAGCTTCTGGAGAAACATCCAAGAGGTGGGAAGATGTTTCTATAGTCCCCCACCCAGTCGTCCACCCCCGAGTTCACTGGGCAGGGAGCAGGGAACTCAGATCAAACTGCAAGGCCAAGGCCTCCCCAGAGGCCCTGAGGGAGGTGGAGCTCTAACACAGGGATGGGGCTAGATCTCCTGCCTTTCTCAGAGAAGGGGAGATGAGGATACGAGGGGCCCTGGCCTCTCTGGTTCAAGACCCAGCAGTGTCCACCAGGTACCAGGAGCCTGACCTCCACCCTGGCCCAGTGAGGAGGCCCAAGAGAGGGCGACTCTTCCTGCCAGAGTGAAGCCAAAGATCCTGGCTGGACCCTGGCCTTTCTTCCTCTTGAGAAGGGAGGGCTCCTGGAAAGACCAGAGTCCAGGATCATGCCCTGCCTGGCTCTGTGTTGCTACACCACCCCAGGAGGTTGCCTTCGTGGCTGCTAAGGGCTCCCAGGACATTGTTTCCCATGGATCTGACCAACAGGTTCGGAGCGTCCCTGGGTCCTTCAGGACGTCCTGCCACCCATAGACCACAGGAAGCTGGGTCCAGGCCAGTTCATTCCATGTGCACTATTTTTACAAAACAGAAAATGCAATTGTATTACTATTAGAGACCAAGGGTTCCTAAGTCACTAGAATGACATGGGTTCCTAAGTCACTAGAAATGACATGTTAAATGCCAGTAAGTCAAGGGTGCATCTAAAGGACCAGGGTGTGTTTTGAGAAGGGAGCCTCCATGCCACTGGAAACATATCCCTGTAAGCTCCTTCCACGCTTTCCTTTCCAAGTAAAGTTTACTCAGACCCTCTGCTGAAGAAAACATAGGTTCTAAATTAGTGTAATTGAACTGACGGACTTTTAAGGCACAAATATGTTTTCTCCTTTGCTCTTGAATGAGTTCACACTCCCTTAAGCACCCCCTCACACACACATGCCTGAGTGCACATGTGTGCGCGTACACATACACACACAGACACACACAAGCTTCAGAAACCCTGGGAGCCAGGTGAGTAATAGTAACAAGGTCAAAGTGACCAGGCCTGCAACAAATATGGCAGGACTGTCTACTCCAGGCCAGCCACGGGCATGGGGCAGCCCCAGGCTAGCTTGGAGCCTGTTCCCTTAGACTCCTGGCTTTTTAGCAGAAGAGCCAGGCCTGAGTCTGCCTCTTACTAGTCATGTGACCCTTGGCCAGTCTCTGACCCTCTCTCCTCACCTGCAAAATGGGACATAGCAATGAAACCCCCCTGCCCTGCTGCTGGGAGAGCGGGAGGGATCACGGAGGAACGGGTGGCAATGGAGGTGCTGAGCGCTGCCTGTGTCCGGGCTGGTGACAGGCAAACAGGTTTCTTATAGCACAACAATGCAAAGAGTCAGGAATCGGGTTGGAAATTGTGAGAAGAGGACCAGTGCCTGGATGGGGAGTGAAGGGATGCTGACCCAGTGGGCACCACCAGGTCCTCCTTGTCTGTCTCCATTCAGGAAAGAGGTTGGCAGGGCTGGTCCAGAAACTGTGGCTGGGCTCTAAGAAAGGGCTTCCAGAGAACAAGATCGGAAGACACATGAGGGCATCAGTCACTGGGAAAGGAATGCTGGCCCCAAATCAGGAGAGCTAAGGCCCATTAAGTCTCATCTTGACTGTGCCGCTCACTGGCTGAGTGACACTGGGCATGTCACTAGCCCCTGTGGGTCAGTAACACGAATGGGTTCAGCAGGTTAAATCTGGCTCCCCTCCAACTCTGACATGCTGAGGGACCCAGGGATGCTCCAGACCTGTGGGTCACATCCATGAGAAACAATGGGAGCCCTTAGCAGCCACGAGGGCAACCTCCCTGGGGTGGCATAGCAACACAGTGCCAGTTTCTTGCTCGGTCCTACAAGGGTGGGTCAGGGTGCTGATGGGGGCTTTGGAGAGCTTAGACCCCCAGAGAGCCCTGTGCGCCAGGAATCTGGAGATAAGAGGGCTCCCCCGACCCTTCCTCACAGCCTGAGGGCTTCCCCACCTCTCCCCATCTTCGTGTGGCCCCTCCCAGGGTAGCAGCAAGAAGCAGGAGCAAAAGGAGGGGCTTCACCCCCAGGACTGGGAATTGGGAGAGGGTGACAGCCGAAGCCAGGCACCCCCACCCTGCATTGCAGGGGTCGTGTGCAGGTGCACAGTTTCCCTGCTGCCACTGGGACTGCCAGCCCAGGTCTGAGAGCACCTTGGGGACAGACATTGCTGCTACACCTTCTCCCGCCAGGCCTAGCCATGCAGCCAGCGGGCCTGGTTGTGGAAAAGAGGGGTTGAGAAAAGTTCTAGAGATAGGCCATTTGCTGGTGAGGAGAAGGTGGAGCAGGTTCAATGACTTGGGGTTTTCCTGTAGCTTAATCCTGGCTACCCATGTGGGGCCAGTGAGTTCTGGGTCAAGGAGTGCTGAGGTGAGGAGGGGGACCTGGAAGCTGGCCCCACAGCTCTAGATGTTGCATCTCATCCTTGTCATATAGTGTGGGTTCTGGGAGGAAGCCAGAGAGCTCTCCAGAAGGGACTTGGCCAACCTTTTATCAGGAAAACAACTACTCCCTAAAGAAGACAGCACAAGGGAAGAGGTGTCTGTGCCTCACCTCAGACCTCACCAGGTGCCCAGGCAGGCTTCCCCGGCATCTGCTCCCTGCCCTCCGTCCTCTCCTGGAAAGGCCAATCCTCTTATAGATCAGAGTATTCAATATTCACAGTACCCTCTTGTTCCTGCTTCAGTCACAATGAGCAAGAGGAAAATCCCGTTGCTGGCAAGCAGCAGTGTCTCACCGGCCATCTTGACCCCCAGGGTCTGGCGTGGGGATCGGCTGCTCCCTGGCTGATGGGGTGCAATGAAGTCTTGCTGGGGGCTGCGGGGAGGTAGAGTGAATGGGCAGGAAACAGCCTCAGCCCAGGCAGGCCCCGGGCAGCCCGGGCTGGAACTTCCATGGATGGAGGGGAGGCTGATGCCGGGAGATCCTCTGGGCACTCCATACCTCTCCTTTCAGGGCCTGGGCCCACCCCCGAGGCCTGCCCTGCCTGGCCTGCTTCTCTGGGACTTCAACCACGTTCATCCTGTCTTCATTCTGGGGGTCAGATGGTTCTAAGCAGGGGTACTGCGGACCTCAGGCCTCAGCTGCTGTGACACTCACTCCTGAGACCCTAAGAACCTGCCATGAAGTTACCCCATTCCTCCTCAGGGAATCAGTATGGGAGCTCTGTGTGAGTGACCACCAACCCCACCGCCCACTGACCCTCTGCCCCGACGGTTCCACTTCCCCTAGGCCCTGGTCAGCCACATGCCCTCTGAGCCACTCTGCCCACTTCTCTAGTTCCTGCCACCAAGCCAGGGGCCCCTGATTTCTGCCAGCTGTTTGCACAATGCCCCCAGGAATGTGCCAGGAAGCTGTGCTGTGTGACAGAGCACAGGCTCCACTCACAGCTCTGCTATTGGGAATCCCCCTCCCCATTTGTAAGACGGGGCTCACGGTTGCCTCACAAGAGTGTCAGGATTGAGTGACGTGCACCTGCGAGCCACCCACCCCTGTGCCTGGCAGGCGGCAGGTGCTAAGCCAGTGTTCACTTCCTTCCTCTTCACTGACTCCTTGTTACCCTGATGTCAACTTCTACCCTGAGCAGCACCTGACCCTCTGGCTTAGGCACTGTCCAAGCACGTTCTCAGCTCTAGCTCCCCAACCTATACCAAGGGCTCTGCAGAAGCTACCCACACAGGAGACCTACTGGCCCAGGGGCAGGGGTAGGGAGCTCACTCACTCAGTGTTCCCCTCACCTCCCCAGGCTCCCTGAGTTGCAGAGATGGAATGAATCTCTAACCTCAGGGGCACTCCACTCTCAGCAGCACAAAATCGGTGTTCCAGACCTTTGCATGGCAGCATATGCCTGCCCTCGTCTCTGGAGAGAAAGTGACTTCGGCCCTGACCACACTCACATGCACACACGTGCGTACAAAAGTGCCCATATGTTTGCACACACTCACATGCACTGCATGACACCAGAGAGGACTCCGGATGCTGGGCTCTGCTGCTGCTGCTGTCTTTAGGAGTCACATCTTAGAGAGGACAAAGAAAGAAATCCTAGCTTTAGTCTTGCAGCTAAACGGTAGAGACCTGAGCCTTTCCTCCTGAGTCCCTGTATTCTGCGACTCTCTCCTCTTCTCATTTTCTCCACCTGGCCTGGCTCTCCTGCCCTCCATGACCCCCACCTCCTTCTGCTACCCAAACCCTCTTCTGCTGGTCTCCTCTCTGCTGGATCTCATCTGGGAGGAGTTTGGGGCAGCAGACACTTTCTCATTCTCGTTATTGATCATTCTTCCACTCCAGTGGAGACCTGCAGAAGTCAGATACCTTCCTCCTATGCTGGGGCCAGAGGGCAGTGGGGCACGTGTGCATGGTGGGGCTCTGAGACAGAGGGGCACGGGGTGGGCATGCAGAAGCGTGTTCATGTGGGGTCAGTACATGCAGCCTCACCCAAAGAGTGTTTTTTAATCAGTTTCCACGACCTCTAGAGAGCTAGAAAATCCTCTGCTGCCTCCCTTCTCCAGGCTGAGCACCAGAGTTGCAGAAGCTCCCAAAGCCACTCAAAGGAGCTGGGGCAGCCGGGCAGCTGGGCAGCTGGGATGCTCTTGCTTGAGACACAGTCCTCCTCCTCTGCTGTGAGCTCTTCTCCGCTTAGTAATCTCAGCTGATCTGGGCAGCCAGAGGCCTGGCTGATGTTAACGCCTTTGAATTATAGACTGACTTGCTTGCCTAACATAAAGGTTAGCTGGCCAGTACCAGACTGCAGCTGTGCTGTGTCTAGGCCTTCAGGTCTTGAGCCATCGGGGTATGGAGTCAAGTCTACCTGGGT